AGAGGTCAGTTAGCACACCTCTAAAGGTTATTTTACTTCATAAATGCACAAAAAGCATACCTCCAAAAACATGGCAATGCATTCACATTCTGTAAGGTATGCATACCACTACTGATATTTAACATGCCAGCGTTGCTACTAAGCTGCTGTTGTGGAATTGCTACAAAGATCCTGTCACTGACAACAAAGTGAAATATTGATACAGTAATTAGTTTTCTGCACCATATGTTCTGATTTTTGCATGTAGTTATTATGCAGCATGGATTCCTGGGAAGATGATTAGGAGAGCGGGAATAACAGCAAGATGTGCCATTTTGCTGGAATGAACCACTGTCTTTCAACATGAACCAGAGATGTAGGTCTATTTCCTGCCACACCAGTCATCTTGGATGTAGTACACTGATTCCCAAAGAACATGTGGACTTTGCAGGGAATAAGCAAGTAGAACAAGCTTTACTCTTCCTCTTGCTTTTTCTTTTCCAACCTTTCCAGCTTAGTTGATAGTTGCTTTTGTGACTGATATTGGGCACCAACCAAAGAGCAAGAGATTGTTCATAGTCCTCAGCAGTTAGTGAAAGGCAGTCACAAATCTTCTGTGGCATCTGCTTTATAGGACTGATCTGGTCTTCATAAATATTTGAAGATATAATTATGCAAGAGATTGTAAAATATCTTCCATTACTGGAGTTGTTGCTTTTAAAATGCTCTTGTCTCTGCAACTTTGGGCTGGCATGTAGTAAATGACAGGCTGAAGAATCCCCTGGCCCACCCCAACTCTGCAGCCACACTCAGAAGACCAGCAAAGATGATGAGAAGTTCAGCAACGGGAAGGGAATGCCATTGAAAGGAGCAGGGACAAGCCATCTTTTCTTTTGCTTTCTCAAGCATGGAACATACTAAAACTTGTATATAGGTCATTATGAGGGACCCATTTACAATGTTATAAAATTTTATTGAAAAACAAATGCCAGGTTATACTCTCTGCAGGGTCTTTCTCTTTTCCCTCATATGTCATATGACAAAAAGACCTCTCATCTCAGGACTGCAGAGCCATCATTTCGTTCCTGGCAGGAAGCTTAACTTTGTCCTCTGTGCTTCATAGAAGTCTAACATGAAACCCCGATGTGACATTTATAAATACTCTTACACAGGGGCCATTGCTTTCCCAAATACATGTGTGCTGCGAAACATTTCAGCAATATTATTACAATAGGGCACCTTAGTTCTCTTTGGAGAAGCAGGCAGGAGAATACATGCAGAGAGAGGAAGCAGACCAGGGATAGAGGCTGGAGCAGATGCCTCTCAGCAGTGTAGACACCGAAGAGCCACCTGGCATTGTGGGTTTGCCTCTGGCAGGAAAGTGCTTCTCCAGCTTCCTCTCCGAACATGCACGTCCGTGTTGCTGCACCTACAGGAGCGCTGCTGCTCACAATAGCAAGTCAAGGGATACACTACCCAAGAACAGCAGCATTTTCCGTTACTTTGAGGCAACGAGGCTGATGCACAATGCAAGTTTTAGTCTGGAGTTAGAGGGGGATTTTGGTCTTGTTTTGTTTTTTTTTTTTTCTATCAGTTTGCACATCCTTTTCTGGATCTGCCATCCACCTGTTTGGAAGTGGCTTATTCTACTGAAGATGGGTACAATGAACGTGGTGTGTCTTAATTTTCAGTTGCATAACAAAGCACCACACACTTGGTAACTTAGATCAATGCCCATTAAATCTGACAGTGCCCATGAGTTAGGAATCTGGGCCTGGGGTGGCTGGGTTCTCAGCTGGATTCATTCAGGTGGGCAGTTGGTGCCCTCAGTTGCTGAGGGGCTCACATCAGAGGGAGCACAGGGAATGGAAAGATTCACTTCCAGTTCCCATTGGGTGTTTATAGAAATTATTTCCTATGTGGCTGGCGCTGTGGCGCAGCAGGTTACCGCCCTAGCCTGATGCACTGGCATCCCATATGGGTGCAAGTTCTAGTCCCAGCTGCTCCTCTTCCAATCCAGCTCTCGGCTGTGGCCTGGGAAAGCAGTAGAAAATGGCCCAAGTCCTTGGGCCCCTGCACCCATGTGGGAGACCGGAAGAAGCTCCTGGCTCCTGGCTTTGGATCAGCGCAGCTCTGGCCGTTGCAGCCAATTAGGTAGTAAACCATGGGATGGAAGATCTCTCTCTCTCTCTCTGCATCTCTTCTCTTTGTGTAACTCTCTTTCAAATAAATAAATCTTTTTTAAAAAAAGGAAATTATTTCCTATTTGCTGTAAGATTCGCCCCTTCAAAGTGCTCTGAGAAGAGAAATAGTCTTGTATAATGTGACCTAATCAAGGGTTAACATTTGCCCTCTTCTAGGAATTACATCCGCACTGTAGAGGAGAGGATTACATAAGAGATCGAGCTCCTAAGGGCAGCAATCACGTGGACTGTATTGAAGTGTGTATGCCACAGGGGCTAATGGGCCTTCCAGGACACTGATGGAGGCAATGTGTACCACTATAGAGAAGGAATCTGCACAACTGTGTGAAAGATGATGTTGATGCTCCCAAATGAACGGAGAAACATCGTACACTAAGGGCTACAGTTGTGTAATTTAGGGCATTGAAGATGCATACTGATGGGCTGACTTAGAAACACAACGATAGCTATTGGGGACTGAATGTGTGTGCCTTTCTCAACTGTGTATGTCAAAGCTCCAACACCCTAGATGATGGATTTGGTGGTGATCTTTTGGGAGGGTATTAGGTTTCCATGAGGTCATGACTTAGGGGCCGCTGTGATGGGATTACTGTCCTACTAAGGCAGGCAAGCCAGAGTTCTTCTGCTGCAGCCACATAGGAACAAGGCGAGAAGGAACTGTGTGCAAAGCAGGATGAAAGCTCTCAGCAAATGAGCAGGGATCTGTCTGAATCTTGGTTCAGCCTCCATAACTGTGATAAATAAATTCCTATTTCTTAAACCTCCATGTCTACCTTATCTTCTTATGGCAGCCTGAACCAATACACAACCTGAACTTTTTCTTCTAATGTAATTTGGGTTGAAAACTCTTCTTTGTCCACAAACTGCTGAAAAAAGTTTTAGCCACCATTTCATATAAAACAGTAAATTTCATTTTTCATTTTCCCCAGTTTTTTTTAATAAAAAATTTATTGTTAATGGATTTTACCTTGCACAACTCAAAATGTGCACGTGAATGTGAATGAGTAGACTAAATTTCCCTCCAGAAAACTAAATGCAGAGCACTTTAAAAGGCACACGTGTGGTGCTGCATGTAAAAGTATCCATCTGCCCAGCTCTGTCAGCTGCAGATTTAAATGACAAAAGTGGTGAGCAGGGAATGAGTAATTGGAATCACAGGAAGAAGAACTAGGGCACAGACGATTACTGAACAGGTTTCAGAGTATCTCGGGCTAGTGCAAGCAGGAGCATCACAGAAAACATTTATTTTCAGGATACATAACCCAAATGGAGCTGGACATTATTTAGGAAAAGAGCAAGCTTTAAGGAATGGATTATGTACTAAAATGTAAAGCAGAAAGCGATTTATATTGCAACGGAGTGGGCTTCAATTTGTGAGTCTATTCATTTATTTTTCTCTACTTGCATTAATTGAATGCCCACTGCATTCGTGCTATGTAAAGGGGTTGGAAAGGTGCATAGAAGTGGATGTGACCTGGTTTACAATAATCAGGTTTAAGGTCTATTAAGACACTCACACAAACATGCTTGTTTGATATTAATTTTCTTTACTGAACGTGAGTGCTGCTGTATACAATACACAGAAGGGTATTTCAGTGTACAGACAGTGCTTTGCTTTCTTATTTCCTGAGCACATCTGACTATATTAATGAACAAGAGCTTTGACTTGGAAAGTCACCTGTCTGTGACTAGAATGTAGGAGTCCCTGGGGAAAAAGCTGTAGGAACAAGCGTTCCGGGGAGAAGCAGGCCAAGCCTGAGCCTGGCCCTGGGTGCTTTCAGCGTGCACACATGTGACAAACAACCCACATTTTCCCAACATAGGATTTTCTTTGCTTTGTTCCTCCTCCAGAGAAATTTTTCCCTTTTAGTGTATGTTTCACAAACAAATAGAGTTGTCTGAGAATAGAGGTAGTCTCTACATCTCAGGAAAAACAGAAATTCTTGCCTGTTCACTGGCACAGATGACACCAGCAGTGGGGATCTGGTTAATGGGGGTGTCACCGAGGGCAAACAGAAGAAAGAGTGCTGTTGTGAGTCTTGGCCCTGTCTCTTGGAGGGAGTTTGTTTAGGTCAGTGTTTCTTAATCTTAATGGGTCAGAGTCCTTTGAAATATTGATAAAAATATAGAAATATTACTCAGAAGAATGTTTGTCATACTTGACAAAGTTTAAAGAGCTGAGGCTCAGAACCACCAATGCACCTGCTAAAGAACCTTGAATATGCAGTGCCAGGCTCTTCACCATGATCCTGGTTGTGTATGAGCCCCTGCCCATGTGAAGGAAACAGTTTGAATAACTGGGAAGACAAAACCCCTGATGTTTGGTATTCACCATGGTTTGGCCCTTAGTGTAAAATACTTCTGGAGCCACTGAGATGCAGATAGAATCCTCCTCCTAAAGAGAATTCACAAGACACAAACTGATTGAAGAGTCCAGACCAAGCTGTGGTTTAACTTAGAAACAATGAACTAACACTGTCATATTTTTCTGCATGGAAACTAAATAGCATTTTAACAACAAAAGTGCTACCATGACATATTGCTTGCCAAGGGAAGATCATTAGTCAAAATAAAAGGAGCTTTGATTGAACGATGTCAGGAAAAATAAATTAAACCATTTAAATCTCAACATATAGAACTATTAATAACCTAAATTGTTAGCCACATAATAGTTTGGTTTAAATTTAAAAAGTAAAACTAAAGATTTTGTAATTTGCAAAGACCAACTAGTCAGAGTCTCTTCAGATTTTATGTATATGAATAAAATAATTATAGCCACGAATATTTAATAGATAATTCAGAAAAGAATGTAGAGTGGCGCTGCTTGGGCTGGTGGCAGGTTGCAGGCGGCCGGTGTTGCAGCTGAGGAGAACGGCGAGTGGGTCCGGCATTTCCCATCGGGATCACCGTAACGATGAGTGCTGCCAGGGAGTCTCACCCGCACGGGGTGAAGCGCTCAGCCTCCCCAGACGACGATCTTGGATCTAGCAATTGGGAGGCAGCAGACTTGGGTAATGAAGAGAGAAAACAAAAGTTCTTGAGACTTATGGGTGCAGGAAAGAAAGAACATACTGGTCGTCTTGTCATAGGAGATCACAAATCAACATCTCACTTCCGAACAGGGGAAGAAGACAAGAAGATTAATGAAGAACTGGAGTCTCAATATCAGCAAAGTATGGACAGTAAATTATCAGGAAGATATCGGCGACATTGTGGACTTGGCTTCAGTGAGGTGGAAGATCAAGATGGAGAAGGTGATGTGGCTGGAGATGATGATGATGATGATGATGATTCACCTGATCCTGAGAGTCCAGATGACTCTGAAAGTGATTCAGAGTCAGAGAAAGAAGAATCTGCTGAAGAGCTCCACGCTGCTGAGCACCCTGATGAAGTGGAAGATCCCAAAAACAAAAAGGATGCAAAGAGCAATTATAAAATGATGTTTGTTAAATCCAGTGGTCCATAACTCCCAAACACTTAGTGTTTGTATTAAAAGTAAGCCTTATTGTTAAAATGCACAGTGGAGGACTGCTTATAGAGCACAGACCTTTGTATTATAATTTTTTTTAAATTAGAGTGTAATTCTTAATCAGTATAGCAAATATAGCATGAAGATAAATTGCCATTGAAGATATTTAGCCAAAATACAACAGCAAGATATCAATCCACTGTTGATGGGAATGCAAACTGGTAAAGTCACCATAGAAGAAAGTTTGGAGATTCCTCACAAACTTGAATATAGCCCTACCACATGACCTAGCCATCCCACTTCTGGAATTTACCCAAAGGAAATTAAATTGGTAAATAAAAGCTGTCTGCACCTCAATATTTATTGCAGCTCAATTCACAATAGTTAAAACATGGAATCAACCTAAATGCCCATTAACAGAAGACTGGATAAAGAAATTATTGGATATGTACTCTATAGAAAACTATACAGCAGTAAAAAATTGTGGAATCACGAAAACATCATGCTGAGTGAAATAAGCCAGTCCCAAAGGGACAAATATCATATGTTCTCCCTGATCTGTGACAACTTACTGAACACCTGGAAGGAAATCTGTAGAAGTGAAATGGACACTATGAGAAACAATGACTTGAACAGCCCTTGTCCTGACTGTCAAGGAACAACTTAATACTTTATCCCTTTTAGTATTTTTTTGTTCTACTTAACACTATTGGTTGAACTCTTTAATTAACACACAAATATTCTTAGGTTTTTAAATTTAACTGTAAATTGATCCCTGTTAAATATAAGAGTGGGAATAAGAGAGAGAGGAGATGTATAATTTGGCACATGCTCAATCGGACTTGCCCCAAATGGAAGAGTTAGAAATGTGCCAGGGGATTCCAATTCAATCCCATTAAGGTGGCATGTACCAATGCTATCTCACTAGTCCAAGTGATCAGTTTCAGTTCATAACTGATCGTAGTGATAGGTCTAAGAGTCAAAGGGATCACATAAACAAGACTAGTGCCTTTTAATACTAACTGATAGAATTAAAAAGGAGAGAATGATCCAACATGGGAAGCAGGATACACAGCAGACTCATAGAATGTCGGATGTCCTAAACAGCACTCTGGCCTCAGAATCAGCCCTTAAGGAACTCAGATCTGGCTGAAGAGCCCATGAGAGTATTTTAGGCATGGAAAGCCAAGACACTCTGGCAAAAAAATGACCTAAATGAAAGATCTCTGTGAGTGAGATCCCAGTGGAAAGAATGGACTGTCAAAGAAGGAGGTGCCTTTCTCTGAAGGGAGGAGAGAACTTCCACTTTGACTATGAACTTGTCTAAATAAGATTGAACTTAACAAACTCAAGAGGCTTCCATAGCCTCAGCAGCTCATGACAATAGCCTCGGGTGATTACTGATGCCATAAACAAGAGGGTCAATTGTTAAATCAACAATGGGAGTCACTGTGCACTTACTCTCCATGTAGGATCTCTGTCCTTAATGTGTTATACTATGCAAATTAACAGTAAAACTATTACTCAAACATTAAAAAAAAGAGAGTGTAATTCATAGTCAGTATAGCAACTATAGCATGAAGATAAATTGCCATTGAAGATATTCAGCCAAAATACAACATTAAGACATCAAAAGTGTATTAAACCAGCTAGATTTGCATACACACACAGCACATACACATTTTTTCAGAGATTAATTCACATATTATATAATGGTCACCAGATTATATAACTAATAATTTGTTATCTTTTGCATTTTTAATCAAATGAATTTTGTGTGATGCTTTTCTTAATCAACTACACTTTCTCAGACATGTTTTCAAAAAATTTATATTATTTTCCAAGTATAAAATTATCTCTATATATTACTAAGAAAAATAAATTGATTCCTATAATTTTCATGGGCATTTTAGCAGGATAGAAATCTCTAGATGACAAATGACATCAGTCGATGCCCAAGTCATTTTTGAAATTCTTCCACATCATTATTCCCCATGATTGCCAGACAGCTGTCACAGTTGTGTTAAATGTGAAAGGACATCTTACTACTTTCAGACACTGAGTCTGTGGTGAATCGTACTCTACTTATATCACTGGAAGACAGAAAAAGTAACAAGACCAGAACACCGCAATGCTCTCAAACCTCAAACAATTGCTAAGACCCTTAATGCATTTTTAGATCACCTTAATAATTGTTCCTCCATTTTATAGACAATCTAATCAATTATTACAATTTAAATCGTCATTGGTGATATAGAAAAAAACAACATTTTTAAATTTTTTAAGACTGATTACACAATATCAGTTAATGCTGAGATTTTTTTCTAATACAATGATATTGTAATTACTAATGATTACATAAAAGCTCATCCATTGCTAACATGGATGTGTTACCAAAAGAACATTTTATTCCCTCTCAATGGTGTGGTCTGTGATATGATCAGATGCAAAGTAGTTGCGCTGGCTTAGTTTGACCTTACCTTGGACCAGGAGGGCCTCCAGGCTGTAGCCTGTAGATAGAATTATGGGAGACACTGCTGTTCATCCCCCTTTCTGATATAGCCTGCTTTGTTTTGAGTGGCATCATTCCTGATCCTAAGAGCTTCTATAATCTCTTACCCCTATAAGTAGATAGATGGCAGTTCTGGCTCCTAGGAAGTAACCTGAAGTTAGTAGAAGAGATTATTCCTTGTTCCACACTTCAGCCTAAAACAGAGATTAAGATTTTCCTAGCAGATGCCACAGTGCCACCGGGGCTTTGGTTATCTGCACACCTGTTTTGTCTCGTGTCACTTTCTCCATCCAGGCCAGCCCAACCAATCTCCTATCAGCGAGCCTCATGAAGGAAATGGAGTATGCAGACTGAACCCTGCACTGTAAACAGCTCATTCTCTCTCAAGTATGTCTGCAGGTTGCTGGAGCCCCAAGAACCAGTCAGACAGATTTCCACTTTCTTAACCAAGTGGCGGCATTGACACAGGCTCTCCAGCTTTCAAACACTTTCCCCCTTCTTTTTCCTACTTGCTGTCAAGAACACCAGGGGCAACAGATGGGGTCATAATCTCGCTTCTTACCACTTTGTATTCTGAACTAGATTTAGTGTTACACATATCCTGTGACTTCATAATTTCAAATTTGCAAAAATGATTCTTTCTATGTTTTATCCCATGTAAATTATTGGGTTTATATCTGTAATCATGTCAATCCATAGCTACCTAAGAATATTCTTCCCAGTTTTTTTCCCTTAAAATTTATTTATTTGTTTGCAAGAATTACAGAGGGAGAAACAGAGTGATCCTTCATCTGAAATTTCACTCCCCAGATGGAGTGGCCAGGCCTGAGACAGGCTAAGCTGGGAGCCAGGAGCCTCTTTCATGTATCCCACGTGGGTAGCAGGGGCCCAAGTACATTAGTCATATTCTACTGCTTTTCATAGAGCATTAGTGGGGAGCTGGATTTGAAGTGGAGCACCCAGGACATGAACCGGTACCCATATGGGATGCTGGCATTGCAGCCTGCAGTTTGACCCACTTTCCACAATGCTGGTTCCTGTTCTCTGTTTTCTAAACACTTAACTACTTGAATGGGAATATAGGAGAAATTACCAGTATGAATTGCTAACAAAATGGCTTAAAATATTTTTCTCCCGGCCGGCGCCATGGCTCACTAGGCTAATCCTCCACCTTGCGGCGCTGGCACACCGGGTTCTAGTCCTGGTCGGGGCGCCGGATTCTGTCCTGGTTGCCCCTCTTCCAGGCCAGCTCTCTGCTGTGACCAGGGAGTGCAGTGGAGGATGGCCCAAGTCCTTGGGCCCTGCACCCCATGGGAGACCAGGAGAAGTACCTGGCTCCTGCCATCGGATCAGTGCGATGCGCCGGCCGCAGCACGCCAGCCGCGGCGGCCATTGGAGGGTGAACCAACGGCAAAGGAAGACATTTCTCTCTGTCTCTCTCTCTCACTGTCCATTCTGCCTGTCAAAATTTTTTTTTCTCCCATATAGACCCTGCCATCTCTAATATCAGAAATTACCTTACTAATATTTATTAAATTTGTCAGGAAATAGAGCATTATAAAATGTATAACTCATCTAAGTATTATTCTGTCTTTATTTGTGAATTATAAGGCAGGGATGCAATTAATAGTCAAAACTATAGACAGATTAATTTATCCTACAGAGCACATAGAATTGTTAATCTTACCAAAATGTACATACTTCACTCTAAGCTCTCTTTGATCCTCCTTTTTTTTCCAGAATAAGTGACAGCTTTAGTCAGAAAACTTGCTGTATCACAAAAGTCATCATCTCCATGCAAAATAGAAATGCTAAAGCAGCAAATCAAACTTGGATTAAACAAAAAATTACTCCATCTGAAAATCTAATAATACTAAAATATTTATAATTATAAAAACATACCATTGGTTACTGAACACATAACCATATAGTTCCCAAATCAAAGCTTATTAATAGGAGGATTCCTTCCCTATTGTGTAAATTTACAATGATTTAAAAAATTTGTTTTGCATCAATTTCTATTATTGAAAAACACCTCAGTTTTTATACATTTGCAGTATCTAATATTAAACATGTGTCCTAGACATTGGGAATGTAGGAAATACCTACATGAACTGTTTACAAGTTCCCTGTGACGTTATTGAAAAACTCGCAAAAGGATGTACAATAGTCTGAATGAAGTCAATACTATTTTCTGGAATTTTCCTGTTATCTATAACCCTAAAATGAAAGTCAACTACAAATCAGTCTCTTTGTAAAGCTTTCATGAAAGTACGTCAGCATATAGGATTTCTAAGGCATCTCCTAATCTTGAGGGAAGAGGGTTAGAGACTTGTCATCCATAAAAAACATGAATGACCACATGTTCAAAGAATTGCTACTAGACATTCTGTCTCTATGCTCAAAGAGACCCTACATTATCCCTCTTTCTTTCCTCAAAGAGAAGACACACCAAAACCCATGCTTATATTAATTCCCAAATGCACACAAGTTAGCAGTTATAATAAGAAGGCATCAGTAACCCTTAATAAACACATCTTCAACCAAGCCA